CCCACCTTGGCACCTGGCACATTGGGAGCCTGCAGCTGAGCTGAGGAGGATGAAGCAGGAAGGGAATACCAGGCATAAAAGATTGCCCTGAGCTTCCCATCTGGGGAGATACTTTAAGCTTAAGTCAGCACTGAATGTCGTATCTTTATTTATCTTACCATAGAAGCAGCCCTGAAATGCTGATACTGAGTGCTTGTAAAGTGCTGAGCCTGTGCTTTTAGGGGGATGGAAAGGGAGAAAATTACTGCACCCTCCATGTTTTGTGACTTGCTGTCCTTCTGCACAGAGTTGCCAGGATGCCTTGATCCATAGGAGGTATTGAGATTCAGTGAAGGCCATAAAGGAAAATGTAACTCTCATGTCCCCCCAGTTCCCATCTCCACCCTCTGATTTTATCAACAGTTATTTGCCACACACCTCTGTTTTGTCTGCAGAGAAGACACCAGCCAGCAAGTAAATGTGGAGGCAATGGTCACTAAGGATTGAAAAGTACCCACAGCAGCTGCCTCCCTGTGCCATCTTCCACCTGCCCTCACTGCTCTCCCAGCTCTAAACCATTGGGCTTTCGGCTGGCTTTGCCCACTATGCGCCCACAGCAGAGCTCCCAAGACAAGGCTGCTGGGCAGAAATACAGCCCAAGTGCTTCTACAAAAGCTTTCCTGGGTATCAAAACACTGAAATTCACCGTTCTCATCTCAGGTCTTGGTGAAGGTGATTGTAGTTTACCAGGGCTGCAGCTGGGTCTATGTTCATTTAAGCAAGTAGCTGTTACCCCTCCACCCGTGATGCTTCCCAGTGCTCAGTCCCCACATCCAGCCCGGCACTGCCTGCACACAGCTCTGCAAGACCCATGGGAGCTGGGGAAGGTGGGGGACACCAAGCCAAGTTCCCCACACCCTTGCACAGCAATGGAAACATGCTGGGACCACAAAGCAGAACCGGCCCCTGGCCCAAGCTATGAGATCCTTGTCTAAGGGAGACCACAGCCCCGCATTTCCACTTGTATCTGGACATCCCCTTTCAGGCAGCCTTACCCAACCCTTGCCTTCACACACACATTAACCTTGAGACT